TTTCCGCGTCATCATTAGGGGAATAAGAAAGTAACCCAGTCTGTATCCCTTTCCTCTCAGCACCCATTGTGCTTATGATGCCTGGAGGAGTGGATAAAGATTCTTCTTATGTGGAGGGTAGTAAGTGAAAAGACTTACACTTTTCATTGCTCCTGCTTTGAAGCAACCAGTGGGCAAGAGAAGTAGATACGGTTGATTAAAATTACTGCTTTGCTTTTCAGAGTAGTGCTTTTCACGCTAGCAGGGACCTGGAGGACTGAAAAGTAAGTACTGCTTTGCTTTTCAGACTAGTGCTCAAACACTCACTGAAATGATGATTTATTTGGTAGGAGCAATTTCAGCCAAGGTACATCAGTCACCGAGGTCTAGGCTGCCAGCATTTCTTAAATTTCTCCTAATCACTAGAAAGATGATAAATATGCTTTTTTTCAAATCTCTGGGGCAGTAAATAGAGATAGTTACATGGAAGAAGAGTCTCAATGGCTTGATGGGCAATTAGGAACTAACTGCCCAATTCTCTCCATTTTTCAATAGGAGCTGGGTGCCTAACTGCTCTTTGTGCCTTTTGTAGTCTCCCCCATTTCCCTTTTATCTAACAGAGGTGAATGTGTGGCCTACAGTTGTGTTTGCAATGAGTATTTAGTAATTAGGTGAGAATTATATAGAAGTGCACAATTTCATGAGAAGGAGGAAAGAGTATCCACAGCAGTTTTTTTTTTTTCAAATGTTATCTTAGACTTTCACAAGGCAGAATGATATACTGGGTCAAATTTTTAAAAAGGTAACTGTAAAATAATAACCTGAAGGATAAGGCTTTAACTTAACTTTGGACCTTCTGATTCTTTCAGGAAGTGGGAAACATGAAAAAAATATCAGGATATCAACAAAAGATCATCTATAATCTGTGCAACTGTGAAACAAAAAAAATAATGTAATGTGTTTCCCCCCCCCACTGGCTGCATTTTGTTACAGAAATGAGATCTCATTATGCTTCAGGAAATACAGATTCTACCACACAAAGTATTTAATAAATGTTATAGTGCACTTTACCTGAAAAAGAAGCTGGTCACATAGCTAGTCACAAATATTTGGCCTGAGGAAAACAGGGCAAGCTCCTAATCTTACAGAAAGTCTTTTTAGCTCATGCAAAATATTTTGGGATTTCATGCAAGAAAGTCCACCCACAAGAAACGACATGGTGCTCTTGGAGGTAGTGCTGTAGCAGTCTTGCTGAGGTATGAGCCTGAAGTGCCAAAGTCCCTTACCTATTTAAACTGAAGACTAAGAGCCTTGTTGTATGGTAATTTTGGGCAGCTCCTGGAGCTCTTAACACCTGGATTGTCTACACATTAACATATGAAACTAATGTTAAGCATTCATTAGGCAAGTCAAAGTTATGCAACTCCAGGGCAGTATCATCTCTGATTTGTGTTACCCAGCTCCTGTTACACTAAGGTGTAGCCATTCTAAACTGCACCTTAGTGTAAACACCCCATCCACCTCCATCTCTTGCTGGTTCACCCCCATCCTGCTCACTGCTCCCTGCTTACTTGTGGCTGGCTGCGCTGCCTGTCCTGGGGGAGTATGCAAGGAAGGATTAACCTGCCTTCCTGGCTATCACTGCCACCTCTGCTGTTGTCTGGGCCAGGCTCAGCCCAGAGAAGAACAGCAGCTCGGCAGTGGTGGTGGTGGGGACTGGGCAAAAAGATTAACCCTTCCCTGCCTGCTTCCTTGGGACAGCCACAAGTCAGCGAGTAGTGGAACTCTACCCCAAGATGCAGGGGGGAAGCCTGGAATGGGAAGGGGAGGGGGAGATACTTACTTTTCAGTCCTCCAGGCCCCTGCTAGCATGAACATGTTATTTTTCCAAACTCAAGCTAGCACTAATGCTGTTCAACATTTGGGCAGCTCACATCATAACATGTAACAAGGCTCTTAGATCACGAAGTAGCTCTCCCATTGTGTACTTTGGCAATCTGATTTTACCATATAGCAACATTTGTTAAAGGAATTTGTAATTTAGTAGCCCCCAAAATATATCTTTTGGTGAAAAAGAAAAGAAAGAAAGAGAGTGAATAACTTCATGAAAAAGGAGTTTGTTATGACTTATTAACCACATAAACTTTACTATACTGTACATAAACTTTAATGTGCATTTCCAAAGCACTGTTTTCTAGTTTAGTCACAACTTCCATTAAGGACAGTCCATCTAAATCCATGCATGTTGCTTTGACTTTTAGCCAGACACATTGCTTTGATTTATTTAGCTGGACACATGGCCACACAAGGTATAGGGACAAGTACTATTGCTTTTATGGCTGCCACCAGAGAAGTGGATGAAAGTCAACAGAGGAAATTATTTATTCGTATAGCCATGACAAAATGAATAGTTAATGCTTTTCTTTAATTTACTTTATTAGTGAAACAGCGCCTGCCAATGCAACAACTGCAAACATGCCTGCAGGTATTCAAGCTTATGCATATTTGCCCCCACTTGTTTCATTATAGAGGTTTTACTTCACTACTAAGATTGACAAGTAAATAGTATGTGTCCTCAGAAATCAGAAGTACTTGTACAACTGCCAAGAGTAATACAACAGTGTCCAAGAATTAAGGGAGTAAATGCCAGTCTTGACAGTACTGTGCAGAGGGAAGGCTGACAACAGAAACAACATTACAGAACAGGATAATTGCAAAATTGTGCAGCAATTATTTTAGTGAGTTTATTTTTATTTTTTTAACCAAAATGTACTATAAGTAGGCACTGTGAGATCTGAGGTACTTACAGAAGAGTCACTGACTCCAAAGATGTCTCGCACATCTCGGACTGTGTGCTTATTTTTCTTCCTCATTGTCTGGGTGTAGGTGTTGTATCTCTTTTGTACAGCAGCTGCTTGAGTTCGGGTCAGTGTAGATAACAAGGCTTGTCCATCCTCCTCTTCAGCTCCCGAGATCAAGGTAGATAAACCCACTTCTTGCAGCCATTCAGCTTCAAGCTCCCCCTCTGCGAAGGAGATGAGAGTGTCAACGTGCCTTGTACTGGGGACTAGAACGGGAGGGAAGGGAAATAGCTGGCTGGTTCAATGTTCTAACTCCTACCTCAGGAAGACTGTTTTCAATCACTCTTGGGCCATAAATGTCAATAGATTTAGTTTTGTCAACATATTGTTTTCATTCTCAGTATTAAGCTTGAGAACAGCCTTCAGGTGGTATCTGTGCACACAAGATGCTTAGGAAAAGAATTCAAGTAGTGCCTGATCATCCTGGGCTATCAAAATCACCAAACCCTCTCTTTAAAGAAAATAAATTTAGCTCCCTCAAATCCCACCTGTCCTGTACAAATGTTGACGTTTGACAGAGGAAGGCAACTGATCTGATTGGATTCTAATAATACTATATCTGCTGTGGCAATTTCTATATCATATGTATTAGGGATAGGAAAATGTCAGGGCCTCGGCACATGGGACATTTAGCATGTGTTAAATATTAGAGTATTAAAGTTAGAACGTGTTCTGAGCAGTCACATGGTACTGTTTACTATGATTTCAAACACGCACAGCTCATTGATTGGTGGTCTTAGCCCTGGTACAACACTGAAGTCTTGAACGGGCTCTGGTGCAGTGCCAGGGCTGGGACTGGTCATCAGTAGGTTCTTGCTGCCAGCCCCAGGACCTTGCAGAGCTGCAGGCATTCAGCTTTCAGTTTGAGCCTGGAGAAATCTGACAAGTGGAAGATCCAGGATGTGTCCTCCTGACAAGTGTGGCTTTCCTCATCCCACCTGGAGGCCTGGTAGAGCAGAGGGGTCCCTGGCTGATGTCATGGCTGGGTGAGGACTGCAAATTGCTCATATTATCTCCATGAAGCAGTTCAACAATAGCTGAACACATGTTACTTAATATGATCTGGAGCTACTCCTTGCAAAAAAGTTGTAACTTGATTATGATATGAGTGCAATTAGCATGTGTTTTACTGCTTGAACAGGAGGTCATTTGCGTTTTAAGGCTAAGTATAATGTGCAATATGGCCCTCAGAGTCAAATGAGTATCAGAAACAATATACCATACTGAATCAGTCCTGAGGTACTTTCAGGCCACTATCCTCTCCCTGATGGTGACTTGTGACAGTGGCTTAAGAGGAAGAAATGAAAATCCCATAGCCTCAGGCCTGAAACAGATGCTGGATTTTCCTCAGGCGAGACTATTTTTCTTCTAGGACAAAGAACACTCATTTAGAAATCCACATCTGTGATCCCAGGACAAAGACTAAAAATGTTCATAGGATAGGAACTGCTAACAGGTTGTCTTGGGACATTTGCAAAGTGCATCTGAACAGTTGTCCTGGGTTTGCATCATTGAATCGATGGCTGAAATGTAGCAATGTATTCAGTGGCTCACTAAACCCTGACTGGAAGGGCAGTGTGTGTACGTGCCAATCCCAGCATTTTTCTGTTCTGGGACAAACATAGGTACAACTGGTCCTGGGACAAAGGCAATATCTGTTTCTTGCCACAGAGTAAGATAACCCCCTACATTAGATACCATTTTGAACTCTATAGAGTTTGGCTAACATCCTACAATGTAGGTCTCCACCCTGCATTTATGCTACCATTAATTATGTTTCTGTAGATATTCTTCATATATGTGTCCAATACCTTTATGAATTCCACTTCTTGGCCTCAACAAAATCCTATGGTAGTGAGCTCCATGGTATGATTATACACGTTTCCTTTTTCAAGTTTTCAGTTCGCTGTTTCTTAGTTCCCTGAATGTCCCCTTGAGTGGTGAGACAGGGAGAACAGAAGTTCCCAATTTATCTTGTCTGAACCATTGATTACCTGATATATTTATATCATTCCCTTTTTATTTATCTCCCTTCTAAAGCAAACACTTTTTGTATTTTTTAATCTTTTTGTTTGTCTGTTTAGGATTTTCCAGGCCCCAATCATTTTAATTCCCTGCCCCTAAACCCTCTCTTAAGTTTAGCAATATCCTTTTAGAGATGGGAGACCTTAAGGTCATACCTTTGATTTATGTAAATGTAACAAACAAACACGTCAAACAGGAAATGGACTAATCTGCAAGCAGCTCTTTAAAGGACTTGATCAATGAGCTTATTGTTCTTACAGCATTGTATTCTTAATAGCACACTTGTATTAGCTTTACTACAGTGGTTCACAACCTTTTTGTATTCAAGGCACCCCTCAGCAACTCTTCTGAATGTGGTGGCACTCTGGTTGAGAACCACTGCCTGAGTTGTATTGCCTCAGCTAACCTCAGTGGTTTTCAGCTGGGGTGATGCTGCCACTGCAATGGGCCAGGTGAAACTGTCTATGTGCCTTATGTAGAGCCAGGTCAGTTCCTCCTTTCAGCCCCTGGTCCTGACTAGTAGTGGAGGGGGAGAGGGACCGGGGACTGCATGCCACCACTGCTGTCTGTGGCTGAGCCCAGCACACCACACAGCTGCTTCCTACAGCCCCTGACGGGAGTGGGGCAGTGGCTCAGGCGCCCAAGTCAGCTGGGAACAGCAGCAGCAGTATCATACTCCTGCTTCTTGCCTGCTTTCCCTGTGTCTCCCAGCAACCCGGGGGCTCTGGTCAGGCCTTACCCCCATCCCTCCAGAGTCTGACGTGTGGTGTGCTGCACCCTGCTTTAGTAAATATTGGATTTGACTATGGGTGCTCCTGCCTGTATTAGGGTTATCTGATAACCCTAATGCAGGCAGCAGAGGCTGTTCTTGTCAAAGCCATTCCTAGTCTGACCCTGTACACTCCTCCCAGGAACAGTGGTACACAGGAGAGTTTTACCTGGCAGGGGTTCCACCTGCCCCAGTGCTGCTGCCGTTGCCAGGTCTTGTGTGCCCACTGCTGCCACTTTCTGATCTTGCTTCCCATTATGTGCATGGGGCAGTTTCACCCAGGATCTGTGCTGCAGCATATTTGAGAGGGTCTTGCTGCACTCCAGTTGGGAACCACTGCTTTAATATCTATTTTTTACTCCAAAATCCTGACTGATTAGCAAGTACCAATTTACTGTTCTCTGCAATCAGGTAAAAATCTGAGATAAGAGTTTTATGTAAATGCCCTCCTTGATCTTGT